TAGATGAATGAATCTTGTCTGATGCAACCTAGACCATACCTACATAGTAAAGATATTCCAAGGGTAAACACCAGAACTACCAGCTCTATTCACCACATAAGCAAGTAGCTCCATTGAAGCCAACTGAACAACTCCTGCGAGAAAAGTTACACAAGAATTGGTTAGAGGAACAAATTGTTCATTAATGGGCTGACACTCTAGCATCAGTGACAATGGCAAGGTATGTTATATTAATTAAAAAATAAAAAAGTACTAAATCAGATTTTCTGTACTGGTGTCCCTTGCTGTGTGCAGTTATCTGTTTCGCAAACCTAAATGCATCTTTTCCATGCATCCTGCCAGTCTGAATTGTTCTTCTATTTTGAGGTACCTAGCCTTAATGACTGGTTTTTAACATTTGGCCTTTGAGATAGTCATAGAATATTTAGTTAAAATAATAGTTTATCTAATGTTTGCTTTAGTTAAGTTTATGAATTGACTGGCTGTTCTTAGCAAACCAGTTTTTCTTATTATTTCAACATTACAAAGTAATTGTCTAATAAAATGTGTGTTTAAAAACTATGCGTGTTTCAGTACTACAGCATGTGAAATAAATTTACTTCTAAAATCTGTGGAGGACTACAGATCTTCACCCCAGGTACCAGCAGTAATATCTCAAGTCAGTTAGCCAGGTTAGATGAAAGTAAGCTAAAAGTTAAGCACAATTTTGAGTACATTGCTAATTCTTCTCTGCCATAACAATGTTCATCAGTTGCAATACACTGGGATCAGATACAGCTGCTAGGAATCAAATTCTTCCATGGCGACTGAACTTATAAAGATCTTTCAGTGCTGAGTTCTGGTAACTTGAGTTTAATCAAAGCCTGAACTTCTTGCAGTATGGTGACTGTGTACAGTAACTTGCAAGACAGCTGTTATCAGTATAAGTGTAATTAAAAAGCAAATTGGCCAACATTAAAACTTATGATTATTTCCAAATAAAGATTTTTTTCCCGTTGCAAAATTTTACTATGTAGTTTATTTTTTAAAGTCACAGAATGAACACAGCCATCATCCAAAGTTCATCTCTGATTATTGCTCTCAAAGAACATAATGTCTACTGCAGATATGTCTGGAAAAAAACTGAATCTCACCAGGGAATAGGACAGTAATTAGAGATATCATTCCTATAAGCATAATTAATTTAAAACATATCTTGATCCATATATTCCATTTCCTCTCCAAATAAAAAAAAGAAACACTACTGAAATATTTCTGGCTTTGTTTGAAAACCCAAGACTAAACATTAAAGACTATTTTTGGAATCAATAAAAAGTAGCTTTAAAATCATATTTGGATATATTTGATCTGCCAAAAATATTTGAATGAAAGTTGTACCATGTCCATAATTATCAAAATAAGTCACTTTCATGCATTAGTCAAATCAGAAGGAAACAGCTATGGCTGGTGTAAGTTATAATACACCATTTCTCATTGTGAAACCAAGCCTAAAAACAGAATTCAGACTAGGTAAGTCACATTTGCTCTGTTATTGGCATTTGGGTTTGAGGGATGCTAATGAATTCCAATAAATACATATGTTGTGTTCCAGCAGTGGGAAGCCTTGGAACCTTAGGTACGTATTTGCAATTTTTCAGTCTACATATGTATTCTTTTACTGGTTTGGACTCCTGAAAATGATGGCTATCTTTCCTCTTTTCTGAAAGACGTTCTGAACCACAAGCCAGTGGATTACATTTGTTCACAGAGTGCCAGAATAAGAGCAACACAACTGCAATGGCTGTGGTGTTCTCAGAGTACCCTGCCATGCACAGCTCTCATTTTGAGGACACTGAGACTGGAGAGAACACTCAGCCACAATATTATTGTTACACATTTACATAGCTCATTACATCAAGAAAGATAACAAAGGCATTTTACACGTACTGGACACATACCACCACTGAAATATTGCCTATCTTGAGAGTAGTGAACAAATATTACACTCACAGCTGGCAAAATAACAGCAGCATTAACCATTTACTTGTGTGAGAAAAATAAAAGATGACAAACTCAATCTTCCTGTAACATTCAGTCAGAATTCAAAAAGCACAGCAAATCAAACTACTGTAAACCTATCAATCTACTGTAAAAACCCCAACATTTGAGTCACTGTTGCAGGAATACAAACCCTTTTGCTCTTGGTAAGCCAAGGGTCTACAAACATTTTGTGATACTTGCTTTGGTTCAGAAAGCGAGAAATAAGAAGAAAATAAACAGACTTCAAATGATCCACACAACTTCTGCCTGGCGAAAACCTACTTATTTGTACAATCACTTTCATTGTCCCATTCCCTCCTCAAGGTTTCCTAGATGTTATCCATAACGAAGATCTATCTATGTTTGGGAGATAGTATAGGTTTGGTCTTGAATCACAGAAGTTAATTATCTGCATTTTTATAACAGGATAATATTGAAAAAGCCTAATTCTAGGCCTACTGAACCTAGCATCTGTATCAAAAGAGTAGTACCCTGAGAAGCCTACACAAGATAGCAAGTAACAACTCACTTAAAGCAACTAGATAAGTGGGTAACAAAACCAAAAAAATTGAAAAGTTATCAGAAAAACTGTACAAAATGCAATGAGGACTACAGAAAGAAGAATTTCAGAGAACATAAACCAAGTCACAGTTTTTGCAGATTTTATGGACAGACAGGACAGGTATGGGCTATGTAGTTCCTACAGGTAGGGATCTTGGAATTACATGTACAGAAAAGAAGAAGTATGTGAACTCTGAATAGGCACAACAACTTGCATCAAAGATATGAAATTGCCACTCAGTTTCAACAGGTTTCTCTATCAATGCTGCAATGAAATAAAACTGATTTTTAAAAAAAAAAAACCATCCCCTCTCCCCTGAGGTGCATAGGGACATAAAATTATGGCACAAAACCTCTTTGGATTTCAACGTAGGGGAGGAATACATGTATACATATATACATACATATATATGCACGTATATACATATATATATACACATATATATACACATATGCACATACACACACACACATATATATACAATCATAGAATCATTATAGCTGAAAAAGACCTCCAAGATTATTGAGTCCTTTGACCAATCACCACCTGATACTAGCAGCTACACAATTTTAATCACTTTTCTCTACAACAAAATTTTAAATTATTGAATCCTTTACTAATCATGCAACTCTATGGATAAAGCACTGGAGTACAGTTGGCAAAGTCTGACTTATCTCTAACACAGACTCTGACCAAGGCATCTCACCTTTCTTCACCTCAGCACATCTGCATGCAAAAAGGGCTATGTGAACCTGGTGTTAGTTGCTTGGAATAGTTACTGTTACTTGGAATCTCTCAAAATTTCTCAAAGCTTTCATTCAACAAAATGGTAGCTTCTTCACTGAATGATCTCTAAAATTTAAAAGAGTTCAAGTCTCAAGATTAACCCAGGAAGCAAAAGACTGTATTAACTCTAGTAGAGACTAAGAATTGAACTTGTGCGAGTTTCTCCTGGAGACTCACAGTGAAAGGTGATATTTTTCTTATCTTGCACATTTTCAAACATGCCTTCTTATGACAGGAAATGAGCCATATGAAATCAGCAGCAGTAACTCCTTTTTCAAATTGTGTCATCGAGACATAAACCCTGGGTCTCTTCCAATCTCACATTTTTCCATTCTCATGGTTATTCTCCCTTCTTACTTTCACTGTCTTTTTTTTTCCTTTAACTCTTTCTGCCACAGAAAGCAAAAGCATTTCCTAGATGCCAGAAAAACAGAAGTTATGAGATATTCTAGACTGTGGTCAAACATTGTTTTTGAAATGGAAAGCACAGTCAATTTTAACCTGGCCAGTATATGCTTAAAAATCTTCAAAACTGACTTTAAAAATACTATAAATCTATAACTCATATAAAATTTATATATTATATGAAGTAACTTTATAATCCATAACGCAACTATACACACAACTATATAATCTATAATAAGAATTGCATGGCTAGTTTTTGGCCCAGGTTTGTAAATCCATTTTACAGCCTGATGACCTGCAGAGATATGTCCTTTTGCAGCACACTGGGCCTGTGACCTCCAGTCCCAACACAGCCGGCTAGCAGAGCCTGCAGCACACGTGCTGCTAAACAGTGTGAGTCAGACTGCTGGACGTTTGCCATGGGAAGCAAAATAGTGCTGGACATGTTCCCATGTGTGCATTTGAGATTTACTTCCCTCAAAGACAGTCCCTGACCTTGACTGTGGTCTTTTAAGTTTATGGATTGGTAGCAGGGAACTGAGGAATTAAAACACTTGGAAGTTCCTTCCCCTTCATATTTACCACACAAGATGGCTGCTGCCAACTATCAGGATCAGCCCACTTTTACCCTGTAACAGTGTCTGGGGTAAAAGAACTGCATCCTATCAGAGACAGTGGGAAGGCTGTCTTTTAACAGGTCCAGGTGCTTCTTCCTCTGGTAACTAACTGATCTGGAACTCCTTGTGTGAGGGATGTGAAGCATTTACTGCTGGAAACTCCTCTCCCCAGGGCATCTACCTCTGGAAAACAGTAGCTACCATCTGATTTTTCCTAGACAGGCACCCAATTTTTTTGCTGGTCAAGCAAAGTTGACACAATTTTCAGGAAATCCTGCTGAAATCAGTGAGCCTCAGCCATCAGAAAACCATAGAAATGCGAAGTACCTAAGAGTAATATAACAGCAGATTTCTAAGAGGGACACTCTGTTGTCCTGAAATGGTATCAAAGGTTTCAACTTTTCATAACCAGGTCCTAAAAACCCCCACTTTTTCACTTCTTCTGTACATCATGAATCCCTCCCTGTCCCTCATGAAAGCTTGTATATGAAATTGTTTTTACTGACTAATTATTCAGTTCCTAAAGCAAATAGATGTTAAAAATACAAGGATAAATTTAAGCTTTTTTTCTGGGACTAGCTTTGGTGCTTATGTTGCATCTGTTGCCTTACCTTCCATAAGAGCACAGCAAGCAATAGGAAGATGAGAATTCCCACCAGCAAACTGATGGCAATGATCCATCCGACAACATATCCACGAGGCTCCAGATTGTGCAAAGCCTCAAAGACCACCTACAAAGCAATTAGAAAAAGATATTTTTATGACTAGAAGTTGTATTGTTTTCTCTTGTACTCATGAGACACTGCACCATGGCCTCCCTGATCATATTTCATCTGTCAAACAAATATGGAATGCATTTAGTGCTTTCCATCTATTTTTCACAAGGGATTTAAAGCTTTCAAGTGGACTTTGAGTAGCCATGTTTTAGATCCAAAGAATATCAGCTTCCACTCCAAAATAACACCTACCCTGTCAATCCCCAAGCCCAGACACTGAGCTTGTTTTGGTGCTGGGCCATCAAGGTGCACAAAGTTTTGCATGAAAAACTCCATCCTTTGGATTGGCAGGGATTGCTATGACATCTTGCACAGTTTGTCTTACCACGTTCCGGTCCTGCCAAATACCCTGATGCTTCACATGAAATGCTTGTGATGAGCTGGCTAACCTTTTTTTCACAAAAAAATTCGGACAACTCATACATTCCTATTAAATACAAATCATTCCTGCTCTGCTTCACAGGACACATTGTGTGAAAGAGGCAAGGGCATGTGCAGTCATAGGTTCTTCTGGGAATGCAGATAGCTCTCTCCTCTCCTCTCCTCTCCTCTCCTCTCCTCTCCTCTCCTCTCCTCTCCTCTCCTCTCCTCTCCTCTCCTCTCCTCTCCTCTCCTCTCCTCTCCTCTCCTCTCCTCTCCTCTCCTCTCCTCTCCTCTCCTCTCCTCTCCTCTCCTCTCCTCTCCTCTCCTCTCCTCTCCGCTCCTCTCCTCTCCTCTCCTCTCCTCTCCTCTCCTCTCCTCTCCTCTCCTCTCCTCTCCTCTCCTCTCCTCTCCGCCCCTCTCCTCTCCTCTCCTCTCCTCTCCTCTCCTCTCCTCTCCTCTCCTCTCCTCTCCTCTCCTCTCCTCTCCTCTCCTCTCCTCTCCTCTCCTCTCATCTCCTCGCCTCTCCTCTCCGCGCCCCTCTCCTCTCCTCTCCTCCTCCTCTCCTCCTTCCTCGTCCTCTCCTCTTCCTCTCCCTCCTCTCCCCCTCCTCTCCGCTCCTCCGCTCCCTCCTCTCCTCTCCTCTCCTCTCCTCTCCTCTCCTCCATTTGCTTTCAGGCTGGACTGTATTTGGCACCTAAATTACACAAAAAGCCCTAGGACGGGTGAGGAAACACACACGGCCGTGGGGCTGCTTCAGAAAAAGTCCTGGGTCCACTCTCATCGATGGTGCAGACTCTATCCACCACATGTGATCCAAAAGAAATTAACTTTGGGAGTGGAAATGCAGTAGTTGTGTCAAAATGGTGCTGCAGTGATGCTAGGGAGCCCTACTCACTGGGGCAAGGGATTTTATCTCATGGTTATGTTGCTTCTCTGACATGAACTACTGTCTCTTCTTGGGTTCCAACAAGGCTGCCTCTACAGGAAATTTGCAGTGTAATATGTGTAGGTATGCAAATGTCCTCAGTGGTCATAATTCTGATTACTGCAAATATATGTGTGTGTGTGTATGTATAATAATTATAAGTTTTCACACATCTCTATGTACACTTATATTTATATACATATGTATATACTCACACATTCACACACATGCATACTCACATCCTCCCTGTCAGCTGCAGTGGCACAAGTAAACCAACTCTCTCAGTGAGACAGTTTAACCATACATATCATGAACAGAGGCATTTGCCTGATCAAGTGGAACAAGGAACAAAGGTAAATTTGCCAATTCAAGAACATCTTACTGCACTTAGTATATTAGATAGGCATTTTGTTTCACCATCTCTTCTATAATGCAGCTAAGTCTCTTATCGATTTGTACTTGGAAGTGTCAGAGTTCATTTAAATAATGATATAGAAGGGGAAAAAAACTTTTAAGAGATGGAGTTTAAAAGCATTTACAAGATGGAATCAAGGAAGGGAGGTCAGTCAATAGGATCTTCTACAGGGAACAGTAATTCCTGTTCAAATGACACCTCCCATAACTGTGAAAGAGAACACTTTACAGAGGGAAAGCTCTTCTACAGTGAAGAAAATCAGTTTTTAAAATTGAATCTAGAAAGTTAAGTGGTTTGGTTTGGGAAAGTTCTTTGGTAAGTTTGAGGTTTTCCTGACCTTTACTTGCCTAAGGGAAACTTTAACTGAAATAAACACCAACTGTGCATGTGTGTATCACCATATATTATAAAATAAAAGCTTCCTTTTATTCTTTCATTTGTGCTTCTGGATTAAACATTTATGAAAAAATATACTACTTGATCTGAGGTGTGATTTGTGTCCTGTTTCATGAAAAAGACAGCAGCTCAATTCATGCTCCATAAAGCTGCCAGATTCGTTAATAGAATCAGCAAATATAAAATCCTGGTATGTGCCAGCAGATATTTTTTAGTAGCATAAGAACTTGAATGATAAATCCAAAAGAAATCCTCCTGTCATGCAGATTGAGCAGATATTACAAACAAGTTCCACAAAAGTGTGAAGACTTGTTACTCCTAGGAGAAGCAGTGGAATCCTCAGTGCTCAACTCATGCCAGATGGGATCAGCAAAACACTGGGAAGGGCTGTAGGATAGAAACAAGTGTGCACAGGCCAGGAAATAGACTGGTGAACTAAGTAGTCTTTGACAATTTTTCTTTGATGAGATACCAACAAAAATCTACTGGAGATCACATGATAGATTTAGAACAAAAAGCTAATTTAAAAGAAATTTTAGTGAAGAAAAATGTTGCAACAGGTTCCCTAAATACTGCCTATCTTTTTGGCTTACAGATGAAAATTGAATGTAAGAAGTTAAAGTCTTCCTTTGGATAAGAAGTATCTTTGAGAAAGATGTTTTATAAAAAAGAAAAAATAATTCAGATTTTATCTTTGATTTGAGGTATATGTCTTTGTTGCATTTAATGACAATTGAAATCTAAAGGAAGAGTTTTGTCACTTAACATTGAGTAATTCTGCAGACTATGTGTTAAAGTTTCAATATTTCATACTTACGGTTGTGTATCATATCACTTAAATTCTATGAAGATGAGTATTTTTGTGTTTCACTCATTGCTTGGTGAAGGAATAAGAGGAGTGAGGTTTACATACAAGTGCTTGATGAATATAGGATTATACACATGAAAAATAATTACTCAGATGCAGAAATGTTCATGATGATTACTGGTACTATAGTTTTTTGAAATTATGACTGATGTAATAGGCACCAAATGTGACAGGTAGAATCACAGCTGGAGGAACCATGTTTCCAATAGAAGATCTCAGGAATAGGGTAGGGTACAGGAATATAAGTATGATAGTGGAAGCAAGGGGAAGAGTGTCCTACTGTGTTTCTGCCATGAAAATCACTATTAACATGCTTAGGTGGGAGTGGAAATGCTGCCTTTGCCCCACGTCAACCTCTGCTCCTACAGTCTAGCCTGCCTCCTGCTACTGCCTCAAAAGCCCTTAATCCTTTCCAAAGCACTCTAGACCAGCACATCTTGCCCACCAGAAGCTACCTAGATGACCTGAGCTACTTCATACCCTCACAGCGTCAGACCACCCCTCACACACGATGCTGCCCTCTTCCCAAAATCCCTTACACAGTATCACCATCTGGGGAGCCCCCTCTATACCTGCTGGTCTGCATCAGACTTCAGTGCAACACATAATGTCATGGGTGGGTGGCTGTTCTTGGGTATTTTATAACAACACACACACACATATGCAGATACAATCTGGGTAATACGGGATCTGTGTTAGCTCTGCTCTCACTGAAGCTGTGAGGCTGCAGAGCTGTCTCTGTTTTAGTATGCTCAGTGTCATGGCTTTTAATATTCTGTTTTGCTTTTGAAAACTTTCAGTCATGAAGAATATTAATCTGCATTTTCAGACCATGAGTCCAGTGCAGTGAGATGGAGAGGAGGGGGAGGAGGGAGAGAAGGCTAAGTGTGGAGAGTTAGAGACAGTCAATCATCCTGTAATGTGTGACACAGTCCACTGGAGAGGGAGCGATAAGTTACAGCTCTGTGAGCACCTCCAAACCTCTCAGTAAGATTGTACCTGCTTCCTGATGAACTGGCACAACTACTTTGTACCAAGCTTGAAAACCCTCTGTGACCCACTCACAGGACTTTTTTTTTCATAATATAAAAGAATTTTTACATAAATTCAACTGTAAGGATAGGGCTTATATCCTCTCACAGCTGGATCCTTTAGCTTTGGAATTCCCCTGAATCACTGAAAGTGTGTTAAATATTTTCTAGTAATACTTTTCAAAATAAAAGTAAAATGATCTTTAAAGAAGCATTTGGACAGTGCGCTCAGGACCTGTCATGGTTTGAGATAGTCCCAAAATCCAATTCCCTAGCTCCATCCCCCCTCCCACATCTCAACCTAATGTGAGAGAGGTTTTTCCAGACAAAACACACCAGACTCCAAAGTGGGGGAAAGGGAATATATTACAATGACTGTACAAATAAATACCATATCACATTATACACATGATCACAAACTATCTCTACCATGACATATGTATTTACAATGGATCAGATCTCTTCTCCCCTCCAAATAAAAGTCCAGGAGGGAAAGAAGGACAGATCCCTTCCAGTCTCTGAACAGCAGCATCTTCTGAGGCAGCAGGTTTCTTCTCATCTCATGCAGCAGCTGATAGCTGGCTTTCTGCCAGCGTCCACGAGGGAGGTATTCAAGCTCCCCCGGCCCCATCGCCTCACAACCGAGGGGTCTTCCGTGGACTTCGTAACCCCAGACAAGGTCGTTTCACCACGTCATATCACGAAGACACAGGGGGGTCTTCGTGACGGTCTGGTATCTCTTGCAGGGCCTCTGTGCCCTGTCTCTCAGGCTGCCACCGTGGCAGCAGTGCAAGGGGGGAGAGCCAAGGTCAACTCCCCCTGCATTCCTCTCGGAGCTCTCTAGCTCCTTTCTACAGTGCATGTCGCACTTCAAGGCTCTTTCAAGTAAGAGTCCATCATCTTCCTCCTTCCAGGAGGTCTCAAAGGAGTTTTGGGGATCTGGTATCAGTCAGTCTTACCCCCAAGAACTCTGTAGCTCTCAGCTGCTGGCTCTCCTTTCCTCGACTCTCCTTCCAGGAGTCTCCTCTGCAGTGCTGCATGTTGCTTCTGCTGCTTCTTCAGTTCAGGTTCTTATCTCTGGCTCTCTGCCACTGTTTCTCTGGTCAGCGTCGGCTGCTGCTCTGTGCCCATGGAGAAAACATCTCCCGGCATAACTACAGGCACCTAGCCCAGCTTTATGCTGTTCCAGGTCCCTGCAGCCCCCAGCCAGGGGCTGAGAGGGGGCCAGAGGCCCCAAGGGGCTCAGAGCCCCTTCCTCGTGGCTCTACAACATGGCCACCTCTCCTCCAACCAAACTACAACTCTTCTTTTCTGGTCTGGTTGTGGTATGTTTACATTTCTGCAGGAGCACCCATTGGGCAGAACTTCAAAACTTCCAGGGGTTTCCACCCCTTGGGGTCTACCACTTCTCTTAGTCTCTGGGGAGAACAAGGTTCAAACCACTACAGGACCATGGTGTCTTTTTTTGAGTGTCCTGTTCAG